AAGAAAGAAAGAAAGAAAGAAAGAAAGAAAGAAAGAAAGAAAGAAAGGCTATTTCTATACAGTTGATAGAAAAATTACCTGTATGTGCACTGATATCATGAAAACATAAGTTTGACATATGAACTCTACTGCAATTCATCTCCCAAAATCTGGTGCCCAAATCCTACAAAGAAACCCTTGGCAATACAGCTAGGTTGATTAACCAGGACCCTCAAATCCAAGAGAATTTGCAACTTTCTCCACTTGGAGGTCATACCCCTCCATCAACTCTGGCCACAGCAGAAGATGGACTCGAGCAATCTCTAAGGAACCTCAGATTTTTCCTACTATGGTTACTCTTCTAAAATGCAATGACCTTCACCTCTTTTGAAGGACAGCTCTCAGCATCTCTGCATTCAGCGGAGCCAATAGTTATGTCGGCTTATCAGACTTGGCCTGCAGACATCCACACAACCTCTTGATGCCAGCAAAGGCAAACAATGGCCATCTCTTTGCTGCCATCTGGTGGTGATCTGGAAGTTGGTGGACAACATCTGGTAATCTTAAGAACCACCAGGTAGAAACATGCCAGGTGAACTAATTCTGTTGTAAGGATTAACATAATCTTGTAAGGCTGAAAGTACAAATCTCCTACCATTTCTATTGCAGACTGACAACTTCAGAATCCTTTCTGAATCTCTTCCTCTGCCCATTATGCAGTTGTCAGCTGCGTATTCTCTTATCGGATTATCGCTGTGCCTTCCCTTCCTTCTGTTTCCCAAGGTCATTCTCACACCCCATTACAACATAAATCCTAGTACATTGGGAGGAAAAAAAAGATCTTGGAAGTGGATCTTTTTCAGTTCAAAAAAAGGTTCCCATTGACATTAGTGAGATTGCTCAAACCCACCATCAGGATCCATTGTCACCTTTTATAGCTTTTGATTTGTATGTTAGGTTACAAGTTGAGTACTAGTTGGGTACTCAAGAAATGACCCTATCTCCCAATGAAAGCTACCACAAATCTTGATATGAGATTTACCCTGGGTGTGTTATTCTCTCCCTCCCCCCTCTCTCACATATACATAGTGTGTGAGACAGAGGGGGGGAGTGTGTGTGTGTGAGAGAGAGAGGGGGGGGGGAGGGAGTGAGAGGGAGAGAGAGAGAAAGAGCACTAATGTTCTCTAATCACTAATAATTGGGGGTGGGAGACTGTTTTCTTCCTTTCTTCCTTCCTTCCATCTAATTTTTGCTTGTTGTTTATTTCTTTCCATGCCGGCAGATTCCGAAAAGCAAGGAAGCCCATCCCGTCAGTCTCTCTTCTTCCAAGGAAGATAATTTCTCAGGCAAGGCAATGCAATGGATTCCTATTGTGTTTCCACCCCTGGGGTGCAGTCAGGAGAGAGCAAAATGGACTTGCATCCCCTAAAATAGACCCTCAAACTGTTTTGGTCCTGCTGTGTAGTTCCTGAAAAGTTTTAGTGTCAAGATTCTGAACCTTAAACAACATGTGTTTGTGTGTGTTTGTGTATATGTGTATGTATATGGGATGGGGATGAAGGATATTAAGAGAAGAGACCTATTTCTCCATTTGTATCCATCTTTTAACGTTTATTTTTTACAGCTAGATACAGCTTTCCATCTCTTTTTTATTGATAGCTAGCTTCTCTCTTTATCTCTTTTATAGATAAATAGAGCTGTTCTGTCCTGATCTAATTTATATTTAATGAGAAAATGAGAAGGAGGAGGAGGAGAAATTCAGCCTCATAATAGTTGCCTACACAAGATGCCTAACCAGATCACTGAATTAACCCATTTTCTGGGTTCGTGCGATATGAGCCACTCACTGACCAAATGACCTTCATTTGTGGTGCATTGTAAGTCAGTCGTACACAGGTAGTCCTCGAGTTACGACCACAATTGAGCCCAAAATTCATGTTACTAAGTGAGATATTTGTTGTGATTTTTGCCCCATTTTACGACTTTTCTTGCCACCGTTGTTAAGTGAATCAGTGCATTTCTTAAAGTTAGTCACACGGTTGTTAAGTGAATCCAGCTTACCCCTTGACTTTGCTTGTCCAAAGGCGATCACCAAAGGCGATCACGTGACGCCGGGACATTGCGACCGTCATAAAAAATGAACCAGTGGTGAAGCATCTGAATTTTGATCCCATGGCCACGGGGATGCTGCGAGGGCTGTAAGTTTGGAGAAAGGGACATAAGTCACTTTTTTTCAGTGCCGTAACTTGGAACGTTTGCTAAAGGAACCGTTGTAAGTCGAGGACTACCTGCATAGCGTAGGTTTACAAGATTAACCAAGTTTAACCCTGGCCACACTTAGCAGGGTTATCCACAAGGCGTGGTCAAATAAAGTCAAGATACAAAATGCAGAAAAAGCAAGGATGGAAGGGAACCTTGGAGATATTCTAGTTCAAACCATTGGTGGGATGCTACCGGTTCAGACTGGTTCATACGAACTGGTTGTTCTGATGGTCAGCTGGCCCATCCCGCCCTATCCTGTCCTTTATTTCTTGCTTTGCAGCTCATCTCAAACACGAGGCACAGCTGGTTCCTCCCCGCTTGCTGTTCTGCTTACCATTGCTGACTTGGAAAGTAAGCAGCCGAGCTTCTAAATGCCCCATTTTCAGCGCTGCGCACAAGCACCTTAGGTGAGCGCGCACGCGAAGCACGCACTCACCAAACCGGTTGTTAAACCGGCAGCATCCCACCACTGGTTCAAACCCCTGATCAAGCAGGAGACACTGTACCGTTCTGGTCAAATGGTTGTCCAATTTCTTCTTGAGGTGGGTGCTCCTCCACTAACGGAGCACCACTCACAACTTCCAGAGGCGGGATGACGATTGTAGCAGTGCTTTCATTGTACCATCGCAGCCGCCATCTTAACTTTCCCGGACAAACTTGTTCACCCTGGCTGTGCCAATATAACCTCTAGATTTCTAACTGATCTGAGTAAGGGTGTCGTATGAACCTAATTAGTATGTGAAGAATAAGACATCCGCAATGAAACGCAGGTAGTTTTCGACTTACAACCACAATTGAGCCCAACATTTCTGTGGCTAAGCCAGATAGTTTTTAAGTGACTTTTGCCCCATTTTACAACCTTTCCTGCCACAGTTGTTAAGTGAGTCACTGCAGGGGTTAAGTTACCAATGCGGTTCTTAAATGAATCTGGTTTCCCTATTGACTTTGCTTGTCAGAAAGTTGCAAAAGGGAATCGCATGACCCTGGGACACTGCAACCTTCCTAAGTACATGCCAGTTGCCAAGCACCTGAGTTTTTGTTCATGCGATGCTGCAACGGTCGTAAGTGTGAAAAGCAGTCATAAGTCACTGTTTTCAGTGCTACTGTAACTTCTAATGGTCACTATTTTATTTATTTATTTTTTCCAGATTTTGTTCTATTTTACTTTACTCATTTGATTATTTTTATTAGTTTTTATTGTTTTTTTTATTTTAAATATGGTTTTACATATTCTGTAAGCCGCCTCACGTCGCCATGGGTGAATAGGCGGCAATATAAATTCAATAAATAAATAAATAAAAACATATGAACCGTTGTAAATCAAGGACTACCTGTATAACACCTCTCTCATTCTGAGTATCTCTTCTTCCAGTTTCAACAGAAATGTTAAGATTTCTCTGTTTTGGCCAATACAAGTAATCCTCAAGTTACAACTACGACTGAGCCCAGAATTTATGATGCTCAGTGAGAAATTGGTTGTGAGTTTTGCCCCCATGTTATGATTTTTCATGCCGTGGTTGTTAAGTGAATCACTGCAGTTGTTAAATTAGTAACACGGTTGTTAAATAAACCTGGCTTCCCCACGGACTTGGCTTGTCAAACATTTTGGCCGAAGGGGATTAATGTGACCCCGGGACACTGCAACCGCCATAAAACTGAGTCAGTTGCCAAGCATCCAAATGTAAATCACGTGACCCTGGGGATGCTGTCACGGTCGTAAATGTGAAAAATGGTCATAAGTCACTTTTTTCAGTGTCATCGTAACTTTGAATGGTCGCTAAGTGAACTGTTGTAAGTCAAGGACTGCCTGCATTTACTTTTTCTTCCTCCTTTTCTTTGTGCTTAGATAAGAACAAGGAACACAGTTTTTTCATCACAGACGCTGAACGTCCAGGGGACTTTTGGAGAAATATAGCAGGTGGGTGTCGAAAGGAGCAGGAATCAAACCCAGAACACGTGTTTACTTCAAAGTAAGCCTACTGATTTCCGCGGTGTCTCTTCCCTACTTGGCATGCACAGAAGCTCCTCTTGAAAATTCTTAATCAAACGACTGAATATTTCGTAGGGTTTGTTTTTGTCCCCACCCCACAAAATAAAAATAGAACAACCCTTAATAGATGGAATAACTAAGGGGAGAATACAAATAAGCTGGGGTGGCACTGTGTTAATAGCAATAAGAATATTAATTGCGGGTCATATTTTAGCAAGAAATTTCAGAAATATATCAGGTTACACAATGGAGCAGGCTGGGAAGGGGGGGGGGAACGGCATAAAATGACAATAATTGAAATGTTCTCTTTGAAACCTTCCATTAAAAAGGATCACAGCTTATTGCTTTTAATATCTGTCAGAGAGACATTAAAGGTGTTTTATGAGATCTAAGGCAACATTTATATTATCTCCGTGATAATGATCTCTACACAAAATGTATAATACATTGACAAAAATTACATTATACAAATTAAATGGAACCACCTTTTACTGATTGCTAAATGTCTCCAAGGGTTTTGGGAAGGGGAGGGAGGGAGAGAAGAAGGGGAGAAAAAAAAACGTGATTAGAAGTTTTGATACTAAGTTGGGTATTGCCAGGGAGGGTTGTAAGGAAAGAGGTTTTGTTTCAGGGGAGACAGAAAAGACGAAAGGGGGGAGGAGGGAGGGAATGTAATTTTCCATTTATGTAATGCAAACTGTCTCGGCTTTGACTATTCACGCTTAATTGACTGTCAAACGAGGTTGTTATCCTCGGGCTACGTCTGCAAATTTGCCTGTCAAATGAGACAGAGAAAGCAAGCCAGAGAGAGAGAGAGAGAGAGAGAGAGGGAGGGGGAGAGGGAGGGAGGGGGAGAGAGAGGGAGGGAGGGAGGGAGAGAGAGATGGGATATAATGGAAAGCAGTTGCAAAAATTGGGTCTCAAATCTTGGGCATTAAAGCAGGAGGGAAACCTTTGCAAACTCGGAATTAAAAACACCAAACAAAGCAGCCTGCAGAAACCAGGGTTTGGCTGGTCAAGGAGTGCATGATAGGAAAGATTTCTCCTGATTTTTTTTAATTAAAAAAAAAAAGTCTGAAAGAAGAAAGGGAAAGAGGAAACAATAGACTTTTAAATAAAGTGAAAGGATTGTCAGAAGAGAAATCAACCTTAGAATGGGGTAAGGTGGAATGGAATAGAATATGAATAGAATAGAATGGAATTGTTTATTGGCCAAAGTATTTTGTCTCTGGTACAAAAAGCTCTCAGTGTACATAAAAGTAACAAAGTGATAAATCATAAATCATAAGATGCAGAAATATTACGTATCAAAACTATTACACACAAATACAAAAATATTAAGTTTCAAAATATTATGGAGGGAATTATTAATGGGATTGGAGGTGTTGCTTAATTTCTTACGTGCCATGTTATGATAAGCTAAAGACTGAGTAAAAATAAGGAGCAAGAGGTCCTTGGTGCTCTCTGAGCTGGTTGTTTTCTTGCAGACATTTCATTTGCCAAATTAGGTGGACACTGATGACTTCACCTCGTTTGAGTAACGAAACATCTGCAAGAGAAAAACCAAGCTCAGAAAGCACCAAGGATCCCATAGTTCAACTCTGGGCTATGAATATTCTCCTTTGTTGAAATTAGAAACGCCGTTCTGGATATTTATCATCCATCTGTCTGCCCTATTTATTTGAGATTGGTTACATCGAGTCATACAGAAATATATCCGAGAGTTTGCAAAATCTTTAATTCTACTTAGATGGTAGTAAGCTTTTAAGGGCCAGGGACTACTGCAAGAGACACAACTGATGCTTTCAAAAGCTTACGGAGTCATAACATATTCTCCCTCTCTTTTTCTGTTTGTCGAATCATCATCCCATTTTATTTCAAAGGTGCTTTTTTTTCTTCTGTGTGGTTTTTCCCTTGAGGTGGAAGAAGAAAATGTTTCACTTCTTATCCAAGAAGCTTCATCAGTTTATCTGCGAAACACTTTCCCCTTTTTCCTCAAAGGAAAAAAATAATAGTCCAGTTGCCTTTTGAAGACGAAAAACTATGACCTGGATGACTGAGAATCTCCACAGACATCCCAAATCATATTTTGTGCAGCCGGCATAGACTGAGATGGTCATTTGCTTTTGGGAGATTGAATGCATGTTCTGCCTGTTGTCTCATTCCTGTTCTCCAACTCTACAAGACAAATAATGTTATCTTGTAAATAGTCCGGTAGCACATGAACAACTACTGCATTTATTATGACATGATGAACTCTTATAAGGCAGAATCCACTGCGAGTTGCAAAACCAAAGTGCCATAGGAGTGAGCTGCCCAGAGTTGCCAAAAACTGTGAGATGGACAGCATATAAATTTACTAAGTAATAATAAGTAATAACAGTAATGTTCAAAGGCAATGTAGAAGGAGACATATAGTAGACCTCGACTATTCATTTAACGACAATTCAAAGTTACAACAACGCTGAAAAAGCACTCACACTTACAACCGTTGCAACATCCCCACGGCCGTGTGATCAAAATTCAGATGCTTGGCAACTGACTCATATTTATGACCTTTGCTTTGTCCCTGGGGGGGGGTGTCACGTGATCACCTTTTGAGACGTTCTGACAAGCAAATTCAATGGGGAAGCCAGATTCACTTAACAACCATGTTGCTAACTTAACAACTGCAGTGATTCACTTAACTATTGTGGCAAGAAAGGTTGTAAAATGGGGCAAAACTCACTTAACAACTGTCTTGTTTAGCAGTTAGACTCAACTACCTGTATCACCTGAACACTCTCACTACAGAGATATCCCGTTTGGGCTACAAATATCTTATGGCTGCTAGATGGCAGCCCAGATACACGAGATCCTTACTGTAATTATTTGCTGCCCTCTAGTGGTTGTGTATCTTTTTGCGGTTCAGATCTTAAATCCTTATTGGATTCCTAGTTTTTAGTCATGTTGGAAATCTGACAGAGACTCCAAGACTGAAGAAACCTCGAGTATGCAACGTTAGGAATTGTGTGACCAATAAATCTGATTTGGTAGAATTCAGCATCTTAAATATTGATTTATGTATCTAATGAGCTCACGTGACAAGAGACTCCACATTAATTAAAGCCAGTAGAAAACAGATAGTATGTACTTTATGACTTAGGAAGGCACACTGAATTGTTCAGCCCTTTGCAAAATTATAGTAAACACTATAGATACGGCCCTCCTTCTACGTATCTTAAATAACACTGAGTAAATTTATTTCTTTGTCATGTTCCCTACCTCTTTTCTCCATTAAAATGGGTTTTCTATTCCTAGGATCAAGCACTGGATTTCTTGGGGCTGTGGATCCCAGAATTCCTAGCTATCATCAGCAAAAGATAACTGGAATTTGGAGAATTAACCCCACAAAGTGTTGCTTAACTTTTAGACAGGTGGACTTCAACTCCATGGCTGGTTGAGGAATTCTGGGAACTGAAATCCACCCGTCTTAAAGTTGACAAGGTTGAAAAAACACGGGTCCCTGGGCTGGTAGGACCTGGTTGAGAACATCTAGTAGTAGCCACAATAATGTTTTGCTATTAGACTACAATACAGGCATAAGTCCTTGACTTATGACCACAAATGAGCCAAGATTTCAGTTGCTAAGCAAGGCAATTGATCAGTGAGTTTTGCCCCATTTTACAACCTTTCTTGGCACAGTTGTTAAGTGAATCATTGCATTTTCAAGACAGTAACACAGTTGTTAAGTGAATCTGGCTTTCCCATTGACTTCTCAAAGGTCACAAAAGGTGATCACATGACCCCAGGACATTGCAACTGTCATATATATTAGACCCTTGCCAAGCGCCTGGTATTTGATCACATGACCATGGAAGATGCTGCACTGGTCATAAGTATGAAAAATGGTTGTAAAGACACTTTTTTCAGTGCCATTATACTTTTGAACGGTCCCTGAACAAATGGTTGTATGTCCAGGAGTACTTTTACATTCAACCAAAGGGAAATTTTTGGAGAATGTACCTTGGACCAATTATTGTTTGGTGTGATAGACAGTTCCGTGCTGCTTCAAAAATTAGACAGTTGTATTTTTCTCCACGGTTATCCTTTGACGTGAGGTTCTTCTAACCCCTTGTGAATCTTTTCCACCTGAAAGAAGGAAGATGTTAATTGAGGCTTTGGGAGACAGGAAGGAAATTTCATATCTTTCATATTCATTGAAATATGAGCCACCAACCCATTAACAACTTCCAGTTGATTAAGCATCTTCCTTTTAATTACTCCATCAATTATATTTAAATATATATTACTGAACTTCAAGAGGAATGCCATCTCATATCATGAAGTGATGGAAACATAAGATCATTTTAGAATTTAATAAACAAAGCAGGCATCCGTTATTAAAAGAAAAAACAGAGCAATATAGAGTAATTGTTGATCATTTCCTTTCATTTATAATAGTAACACATTAGAGATAGCTTCTCTTGATGAGCCAAAATATGTTTATGACTGACAGCAACAGTAACTAACATTGGCCTTCACCAGTTATTCAGACTCTAATGGATTAATCCACCAATTTAATTAATAAAAAAACTCTAGTCTTAATGGTGCTGTACTGAACAGTCTGCTTACATCTGCCAGAAGTCCTTGGCTTACAACCATTCATTTAGTGATTGTTCAAAGTTACAACAGCAGTGAAAAAAAAACACTTAGTCCTCATGCTTATGAACATCCCAGCATCCCTCAAAATTTGGTTACAGAAAACCAGGGTAAATGGTTGCAATTTCTGGTCTTCTCAGCCAACATCCAACCAGCAAAGTCAATGGGGGATGCCAGATACGCTTAATGACCACATTATTCACTTAATAACTGCAGGATTTGCTTAAGAACCATGGCAAAAAGATGTGAAATTGGCCACAAGTCACTTAACAACTAGTTAAGGACTATCTTCCATATATCCAATATTATAACATTAGAAAGAAGAAACTGCTGCAGATTATCTCAAACTAGGTTTCAGTCTTGAGCTGGTTGTTTAGAATTAAGTCTCTATTCCATAATAGACAGACAGACAGACAGACAGACAGACAGACAGACAGACAGACAGAAGAGAGATGATAGTTAATAGGTAGGGATAGATAGACAGATATTGATAGATGATAAAGAGAAATAGATAAGACGGACAGGTATCTGTCACTCTGTCTGTCTACCTATCTATCAATCATCTATCTATCTATCTATCTATCTATCTATCTATCTATCTATCTATCTATCTATCATCTCTTAATAAAATGGGAAAAATAGATAAGCAAATTATATTTAGCAAAAATTAAAATACCCAAAATAGCTGCAAAGGAAAAAAAAGAAAAGAAGAAAAGGAATTATTCGGTTTCTAATAACTTGCACAACCACTAATGTGCCCTATTTTAGACATTTAAGCCTAACCACTAGAACTTTGCTTGGAATTGTATTTGCCCTGCTGTGTGATGTTATTGTATGAAGAATAACCATCCTTGCTTACATTTTCAGTTAAAATTTCTATTGTGTATTTATACTGTTAGTTTTTACATTGTTGTCTGTTCTTCAAGTATAGGTTCCCAGTAGAATATTAACTGAATCTTTCTTCCAATATTGAGCAAAATTTATTTTTGCTACTACAAGCACAGATCTTATTAAATTGTTATATTTCTTGTTGGGTTTTTTCCTGAAATTTCACCTAAGAATGTTTTGGTTTCTCTTTGAAGGGTGTAAATCTTTTATCTATCCTGGCTGCCTCCGTGGCCATTTTGAAATTCCCCCTGTAGAGATCTTTGCCACTTAAGATGGATTCTGCAAAAAAATATATATATGCATGATTTGCATGTTGCCCTCTGGAGTTATACAGAGTTGGATTAAACAGAACCAGCATTTCTGAGCATGTTTTGCTATTTCACAAGAATGCAATATGATATATTGGGAGAAAAAGATCAGACGATTTAAGCCGGTGGTCACAATTGTGTGATCAAAATTTAGCTACTGTCTTAATTATTTTGAACCCTTCCCAAGGACTACTATAAACACTTTACCTGATCAAATGTAGCCTGATGCATGGTGCAAATAAATAAGAACAGAATAGATGGGATGGGATGGGATGGGATGGGATGGGATGGAATGGAATGGAATAGAATGGAATAGAATAGAATAGAATAGAATAGAATAGAATAGAATAGAATAGAATAGAATAGAATAGAATAGAATAGAAT